AGGTAGGTATACGTTCAAACTTATTTTTCCTGAAGCCTTACCTGTTGTGATAAAAAATGAGGGTAAGAAAATAGAACCTAGTGGTATTTCTAAATCACACTGCCAGAACCAGCCGGCAAAGTGTGGACCTCCTTGGCTGCGCACACCAAGAGATCAAGAATAGACAATAAGTGCTGTTGTATAGTAAGTTGGACTTTAGGGGATAAAAGTAGACAGAGGATGGTGAGGGGTTTGCGGCTAGCAAAGACCCAACACATGGTCTTCACTTTTTATAGGTGAATCTTTGGGGTGGTTGGCAACCTTGCCATCCTGGGATCCACCCACCTGTAAGTCCGTCCCACCCTTACGTCTTATTGGTGTGTGTAGTAAGGGGCAGAACCTTTAAGGGGTTGGGTCAATACTGAAATACTAGATCTAACTCAGGACAACCCATCTGGTCAGGTGTGAAGTCTACGCTTCAAGACATCTCCTTGAAGTGCAGATAGATACCAGCTTTCCCAGGCCATCAAAGCAACATCTGCCAGGAAATGGCAATTCAGATGTAGATCAGATCTGTGTATTGCATGACATCCAGTCCTCTGGTAATGGGGGATTACTTGTCTTTAAGCTGTGGTTTCTGCTAACAATGGCGAAATGTGCTTTTTCCCTTCAGTCCAGGATCTTGTATATCTATAAACTTCATTAACATGAAATGCAGGTAGCACTTTCTCTGTGTAACCTTTCACAAACTGGTGCTTCAAGCAGCGTTCCCTAAGCCTAGGGTGTATGTGTATGCACAGTCCATGTAAAGTTTGTGTGTCAGCAGATATAAATCCATAAACAGCAAATATTAGTCTCTTTCTCAACAAGCTTGTTGTATTGCTTCTACAATGAGCTTTGCGGCTAGTATTTTTTGTTGTTTAGTCGCACAGTCGAGTCTGACTCTTCGCGACCCCATGGACCACATCACGCCAGGCCCTCTTGTCTTCCGCCGTCCTTTGAAGAAGTATAGAATATTACAAAATCTCCCATATAA